AAAGCCCAAAATATTTGAGTGTCCAACAAACATGTGCTATCTACGGACAGCGTGAGAACCTGAGGTCAAATACTGGGATGGATGAGGGGGCAATTTGGGATTAGCACTTCGCGGTGTCATGCAGGGTAGTGATCGTTTGGATCTCTGAAGTTGTAGACAGAGTCGTTTGATTGAAATAAGCCAAAGATGCAATTCTTTCCAGATACCGTTGTCATAGTGCTGCGAATACATGAGGTTCCATCATTAAACCATTCGATAAGAGTTCAGGGCTGGCGCTTCATGTGAGGCCACTCTCGGCTAGCTTCGCTATTGGGAGAACAGTTGTCAGGACCCGACATCATGTGTATTTCAGTGATGAATCACATCAAGCATCTCAGGGACGCTTATTTTCTATGTCGAAATTGTACTGCTGGGTTGTTTCTCTTTTGATGTCATCTTCCTCTTAGTATTTAGTGTACTGAGCAAGCTGTATATGATACAAAAGAAAGGCTCTGGTCATATTAAGAATCGAGAAGTGCATTGCACTGTGAAGTTCAGGGTAGAACTACGAGGTGAATGGAACATAAGACACCGTGGAAACCCAAGAATAATACGAATGAGGTTATACATTGTCGACTGAGACTTCAAAAGCCGTTATTATTATGAAATGAGGGAGTCAACAGCCACTAATGCGGGGAGTGCAAAGGTAGTATCATTAACAAATATTGTGTAGGAAATCCGGTTAGTTTCAGTGCAATTCGGAGTGTAGCGTCACAAACTTCTCCAGAATTAGTAGACTACTGTCCGACGAGATTCAACCTTGAGGCCGTCCTTCATACTTTTGCCATACTCGCTAAGCTGAAGGCATACAGTCAAGCACCTGCGCCATTTTGCACGCTGTCGTGTTAAGTTGCACTGCTCCCAATCGGCCCTCTAGCCAGTTAGTTGGAACACATCGGCACCATGGCACGACCTCGCAAATATACTATTCCATCCGACTACGCTGTTGTGTTCCGCCTTGGTCTGGTATTCTTGGGTAAATAGAAAGTACGAACAATTAGTGACTGGCCTACGCATCCATCAGGTTCGCACCAGGACAGTTCCTATGGAGGATCCCAAACACTGAAATTATGTCGATAATAATGATGATAATAATAATTTTTCCCTGTAAATGCAAGTGCACACCAGTTTACGGGCGTGGTTATGTACTTAAACCAGCTGCACAACTTCGGCTGGTTAAGTTTCACTACCCGAAGATAATGGGCAGGTTTATATAAGTAGAATTATTCTACAGAACAGGATAGGAAAGTGGATACCCGAGGCTTCTACATATAACAGTGTTTCACAAGGATGAATTTCTTTTGCGTTTCCCAAAAAAGAAAAGCAGAAAAATTGTAACATGTCTTGTTGGAAATAATTCTTTTTAAAGAGGGATAGATGATAAAGATGCACACCGTATAACTCGTCAAAGATTGTTTGCATAGTTGTATGTCATAGTATCAAAGCAGGAGAATATCTACATCACAGTAATGTTCCGGTCAGACTTTGTATCAAGTAAGAAATCGTTAAATCGCGCCCTCGAAACAATGAGCAAAACATAAGTGTAAACTGACTAGGGGAAATTGGCAATTTAGCGCGCAAGATTCACTGTCTAATTTATAAAAAGGCAAGTGGTCGCACCTAAAACTCAGCATGAGAACAAAAACTGCAGAACTTGTAGAATATAGGTGCTTTTTTGGATAAGTAGCCTAAAAGCAACATAGCAGTAACAGTTTGACTACGTGGGAAGTTCTCTGCATACCCGATCACTAGTAAGCCTAAAATTACGATGCTAGGAATTAGTTTTTGAGTATATACCTTCATGACTGGATGGAAACAGTAAACCCGATGGTGTTTTAGGGTGAAATATTTTCTTCCGTGCTTCGTGACCTGTTGTCAATTGGAGATAAATGTAGTTTCATCGCAGTAGTTTAGACAGGTAGAATGTCAATTCCACCATGCTTGATTCCAGAGTAAGTATCCGCAGAAGAGAAGAAAAAAGAGTGGACGAAAGGTGAGAGAACATAGAAGTATGGGGCTGAAAAAAAACGGTAAATATGCCTTGTGAAGACCATGAGAATTACAGTCAATACAGCAGTCCATTAAATGTAATAATAATTATTATTTCGTGGGTCACGCCATTCTATGATTCAGATGGCAGTAATAATGTTCTGTGGCAAACTTTCTGAACAGCATTCAATCTTAGTAGGATTTACCATACATGCGACGGTATAAGATGCCCGGACAGTGTAGAAACAACCGTTCACGAACATCTTAAAACAGTAGTTTACATTGATCAAGGCTTAGATTATATCATAACTGAATGTGAAAGGAGTAGATGAAAGGGGGTTGAGGACGTTAGCGCATGAGACGTTGGAACAAGTCACTCACTGTATCGACCAACAAAAGTTGCGCTTGCGTGTGAAGACCGCATAAAGGTTGAGCGTTCCGCACAAGCGACTTACGCCTAGGTAGTCAGTGGCATATACACTTTTTGTATGTGTCACGTGTGTGCTGCCTCTGTTTTACTGTCCATTGTAGATGCCCCAAGGTAGCTGAAATCATTTACTGCAAGCGACAATCTTTACTACTTTGGTTAAAAGAAGGGGTGGGGCTTGGATCTTACCAAGGAGCTTCCTTTTCACTCAAACATTTTTATATTCAGTACATCATTTCTACCTGTTGAGACGTGCTGACTATCTTTGATCAGTGAAGCTGTATCAGCGAGAACTGCCAAGTTGGTTTAAGTATTCACGCCTAAAAACTGGTGTGTGCTTGTACTTGCAAGACCAAATTATCAAGGTTATCACTGTCATTATTATTACTGAATTGGTCACGCCTCGCCGGTCGTACCAGTTCTTCCGTTGATCCATTATAGTGTCACCATGGTGATTCTTATTCATTTACACATAGGACTCTGAAGATATGTCCCTGACCGAACGGTCAGGTGAGGTGTAAAATTGCAATAGAATTACCGAATAGAACAGAGCGAACACTCAAATCCCTGTTCTGTTGGATTTGTGGACAGTTTGGTTTAAAATCTACCAGTAAGCCAAGCAATCCGGTTCAGAGTTTTCTCTGAGCTTTTCTCCGGCTCATACGCACTCACCGGTGGAAAGAATTCGAATTTGTGGCATTCTTATTGTAAACGCAGCTGAGGTACTCCACTGTAATTACGACGAATGTAAAACTTCAGAGTGCCAGTAATGCACACTCCGGCCAGAATAACACTAGAAGACACTTCTTGAGTCTGGGGCAAAAGTTTGTCTGTAGAATTCCTTTGGGCTTCACAGCGTCAGTAAAAATGACACTAGGGGCCATGAACTAGTGTCACTGCACTGTTCTTCTCATCAGATCTTCTAGTCCACAGAACACGCACAGCATTCATTCAGAAGTCAGCCTTGCAAACATGAAGTAGATTAGTTTTGCACACCAGGTGAGGGCAATGATAGATAATTTAGGTACACATCAGTTAGAACATGGAAGTGAAGGTGGATATCCCTTTGGTTTGGCCGAAATTTTAATCGGGTAATCTCAGGCGACATGCGTCAAAAAAAGTAAGAAAGTAACAAGTAAAGGATAAAACTTAGAACAGCTTTGACCCAACTAAGGTGCTCTGAAGGGAATCGATATGTCTTACTATATGGGCTGAAAACAATAGTTGAAATTCTTGAAGTACAAAAATGAGTATCAGGTGGTGTTGCCTGTAGTGTCCCATCTTTGATTGGAGCGAATTGATCGGTCTTAGTTGGTGAATGGTCTCATGCGTGTTTGCCTGGATATTGGCTGTATTTTCGGTTTTGATATTATTAGTGGATAGTGGCTAGCACTGGAATCCAGAATGCCTTTCTTGTCTTGTAAGGGTCAGGGAATCGCTTTGGTGTTTGGTCCCATGTTCGACTCTTATGAGGAAAATCGCCTCAAAACACTGCTGGGTATCCAAGCTGAGGTAATTGTCTATAGTCTTGTCCCTGGATATCCGCATAATACCAAAATGGGAGGAGCCAAATGAGTGTTTCGTCCGAACTACGTTCAAAACTCAGGCCTGTGTAGGTGGTTCTCCCAGAAGACAGATTCGTGTTGCCATCTATCAGCAGTCGTGGAGCGGGATCTGCAAGCAAGTTGCAGCTCAGACGAAGACCCGGCTAATTAGTCCGTACATATCTTAAATAAAATAACAATGACCACTCCCGAAGGCTGTGATTGGTTTCCTGGTGGTCAGCAGCAGAACAGGAAACATCATGACGGCGTTCAATCTGGTTTGGAGAAAGGATGCTAACCTATGGACTAGTGTCCATGAGGTGGTGAACCTGCGTTTCACCATCTGTAATGTATGAGAAACGGTTGTTCCCACCATCTAAGATTGTCGTTAATGTATGCCAGAGAGACAGTTCACAGACTTCATGCGGTCCCTAATAAAGTGGAATAGATTTCGGCGATTTTTATTTTTGTACAGTAAGTGATGTGTGACAAATACCGACGAAGGTCCTGCCACTAATTCTCTGTGCCAATAAAATACTTACGAATGGAAGACAAAGAAATACACATTAGCATAGCAAGGTAAGAAATCGGAAGTTCTATCAGTAGCGCCAATTCCCTGGGATATGTGAGTTAACTGACCAGGTGGTTAGGAAGGAGCAAGATAGCATCATATAGAAACGTGCCAGATATCGCGAACTTTTCCATATGCATTCACATGGACAATTTTCTTATCATTTCGATTAGCTGAAATAGCCGTAGGTTAGGAGACCTATGTTGATACTATGTAGTGACTGAAGCTGGAATGGACATTTAGGCCACGGCAGAATTTGAACCAGCGACCAGAGGGCTTTGGTCTTGCATCTCAGCTGGAAACTTGGTAGTCGCTAGTCCGATTCCCAACGAAGTTCAAATTTCTATTTCACCTCCAATCACCACCCAGTCTCAAGACAATTTTCTGTCAACTCTTACGAAATTTTTTTTCGAGGTCATTTTTCAAGGTCCTTGAATAGTGACGTGTTTTCTCTCGTCTCTCAGCTTTTGGATTTTTCCACATTGAAAAACTCCCACTTACAATACTCAATCTAAAAAGACCGAACGTTTGCAGCACTTCTGTCCGTCCACGCACCTCACCCCTGCGTATTCGTCAGCCCACTTCTCAACAGTTGAAAATTGGCATTATTATTCCTTTGAACCAACCGGTCCACCTCCTGTCAGTGGTTCTTGGGCGTTTCAACTGCCAAACTGCCTTAGCTCTCGGTTCTCCTCGGAGGTCATTCCCCAGGAAATATCTTTCCTGGTTATACATACGCATCTGGAGCTTACGGTTAAACTCGTTGGTCAAGAGCAGAGGATCAAGTGACAAGTGTCTGAAGGTGAGCCAACATAAATTATCTTCCCTTTTCTATTCTGTCCTTTTGCTGCATTCAGTCTTCAACCCTCTTATTGTTGTTAACTACTTGTTTTCCTAAGAAGTTTATATCATAGCGACATGTCTGCCCAAAACGCTAGGTCTGAAGCTTTGACACGGATAACGCGGTCGTGCACAAAAACGGCCAAAAACACCCTAGACAACACACTAGTCTGTACTAGAATGCAAACAGAGGTAGGGCAGAACACCGAACTTCTAAAGAAGTGGCCAACCCATGTTTCTAGAATTCCAGTAGCCATCAGACAGGTGACACAGAGTAGCACTAGCCCGTCACAAACTAGTCCTATCTTGAGCAAGGATCATACCATGCCTGGAAATAGAAGACGACGTAAAAGGCTTCAGCACAAGGCAGCCACAGGCAGTTCGTCACAATCCGTAGCACCTAATTCATGCAAGGAATGCTGTATTACGACACCCGATGGCTGCAGTGTTTGCACCAAAGTTGTTTCGGTAGTCGATGAGGCATTTGCATGCAACCTATGTCAACGATGGGCGCATTGTCACTGCGACACCAAAGTCCCCCGACAATACTATAAGTTGATGAAGAGACAACCATGCAAGTGGTTCTGGTACATCTGTCCAGAGTGCAGGAAAATGCCCGCACTGCGCACAGAAAGCCTGAAGGAGATGCTCTCCGCCACGCAAAAGCTACCAGCACCCTCGAATAAAGTAGGGTTAACACCAAAAGATAACATACAGAGACCTGGAAACAGACCTAGAGCTCCAGCTGTGGGCACGCCACCTCGCGTGGGGACCATATTAGGTCAAGTCTCCATACCTCCTACCCGGCCCCAGGGGACGTCAAGCGTATGGCCAAAGACATCGACCGCTAAAGCCTCTACGAAACCCATTCCAAACACCTTACACACCGTGACTGAGAAACAACCAGTGGAATTACTCAAACCCATTGGGAAGTCAAGCGTGCCACCCACAACGAACCCAGGTCACAGGAGGACCAACTCGATCATTTTGTTCAACGTCGATGTATCGACAGACTCATTGTTGGTCGAGAGGGAACGGTTTGACAGCCGAATGTGGACCGACTACTGTCAGATGCTAGGACTCCCTCCCCTCCCTGCAACTTTATGTCGCCTTTCTCGAGGAAGCCGTGCACCCCGAGATAAGCCACCCCCTCTACGTGTGTCCCTAAATACTACCAAAGAGGCTGAAGACACACTCCTCCTCTCGCGACAACCGGACGTTGTTAATGCCTGTAAAATTCGGGCCAGGCCTGACAAGCCATGGTCAATAAGAGAGGAGGAGAGAAAGTCAGCGGTTGGAAATCCCAACAGAAACAACACTATAGTTGTACATGGGATTCCAGAATTGCCAAGTGACCGCTCGGTCAAAGATCGGTACTTTCACGACGTCCAACAATGGCAATGGCTCTCAACCAAAGTTGGTCTCAACAGCATACCGGCCAACAGCGTCAGTAGACTGCCAAGGCCAGCGCACCTGAAGACCATACCCAATCCCAGACTACTCGCCGTCCAGTTCGACTCACATGCCTCCCTCACAGACGTTCTACAGGCATGGTATAATGCGAAGGATCGCATGGGTGGCTCAATACGTATATGTGAAAGTAAGCCTAGACCCACAAGGCAAGAGGAGAGACGACAACCACCAAGACCCTGGAGTCAGTGGTCGTCACACAGGCGCTGACCAGTGAGTTAGATACATCAAGTAAAGAAGCTACCACTGCCACAGCCCCCACCCAAGTTAATAACGAAACACCAAAAAACGGAACAATGCCAGTCCTATGAGGACTGGCGAGGGTAGACCCAACCACATAAGCTGTCATCCTGCGAAAATACACAACCAGACCTCCCCCTCACCAGGCACACTCTAACATGTATGTACAGCAACGTTAGGGGGCTAAGAGAGAAGGTAGCAGAAATGAGGACGCTGCGTGCACATCAGCACTCCGACATCATATTCATCACCGAATCCTGGCTCTCGCCAGACATCTCCGACGAAGAGATGCATGTTACTGGCATGGAACTCTTCCGCAGGGACAGGGAACATAGAGCAGGAGGAGGAGTGGCTATCTACGTAAACTCTTGTTTAAAGGCAAGGATGGTTAGCGATACGGCCTTAACCCAGGTCCCAGAGTCCCTATGGTGCTACTTCACTCTCCACAGTACCAAATATTTGCTCGGAGTCATATATCGGTCCCCCACCTGCTCCCCTACACATAAGGAAATGATCATCAAGGCTATCTTAACGACTTCCTCTGCAAATTACGATTCCGTAGTCATTGCCGGCGACTTCAACACCCCGTCCATCCTCTTCGAGACGGAAGGGAGACGCATCAGATCCTTCAATCAGAAGCTGAAGGATGCAATTAAGACTGCTGGCCTCTCAGAGAAAGTGGGTGATGCTACACGCTGGGGACCTAACGGAAACGCATCGCGCCTTGACTACGTTCTGACGAACGATGAACTTCTCATTGAGGATGTTTGCATCCAACCTCCCCTTGGCCTCAGTGACCACGCTGTAATCACCTTCTCCATGATAACTAGGGAGGCTCTGCAACTGGAGACGCCCAACACCTTCCCTTGCTACAGCAAGGCCAACTATGAGACCATGAGGGACTACCTCATGAATGCATCATGGCCAGTGGACTGGACTCATCTCACAATAGATGAACACTGGTTGGAGGTGAAGAAAATAATCACTGGGGCCATCAGTCACAGTGTACCAGAAGTAACACACAGACAATCAATGAGAACCTCATGGTTAAAGCGTGGGACAGAGAGGCTTATCCGGAGCAAGAAGCAGGCTTGGTTCAAGTGGCTTACATCACGCAGGGAGTCTGACTTCTTGAACTATAAAAGGATTCGCAATCTCTGTAACATTAGAGTGCGTAACGACAGATTTTCCTACCAAACAAACTTGGCAGCGAGGTTACAAAGCAACCCCAAAAACCTGTACCGCTTCATGTCAAGAAGAAAGTCGACCAGTAAGGGAGTGAATCTTGTCACAGGCCATGACGGGAGTGTGCTAAGCAGTCTAGAGATTGCCGAGCTTTTGAGCTCACACTTCCAAGCCCAACTCAGCACTGACACAAGATCCACACCGACTCGCCACGACACCGACCAGGTCGCAAATAACGAATACCTCTGTCACGTCTCTATTACAGAGAAAAAGGTGTTCGAGAAGCTATCTAGGCTACGTCCGGGCAAGTCCCCTGGCTGCGATAATCTGAAACCAGTGGTTCTGAAAAACTGCGCCGAGGTGCTTACCAAACCACTTCGCAACCTCTTTGAGCACTCAATAGACTCGTGCAAACTCCCTAAAGAATGGAAGAGTGCCATCTTGTCACCCATCTTCAAGGGAGGAGACAGAAAAAACCCTGGCAGCTACAGGCCGATTGCCCTACTCCCTATTGTGTCGAAAGTGTTGGAAAGCCTGGTAGCTGACACCATCTGGGAATTCCTCAATAGAGAAAACACTGTCCACACTGCTCAGCACGGCTTTCGTAGTGGTCGCTCATGTGCCACCAACTTACTAACTGCCTGGGACGACTGGACACAAAGCTGGGATAATAGAAAACCTGTACATGCTGTATTTCTCGACCTAGCCAAAGCATTTGACAGTGTCCCACCCACAGTACTGCTTCACAAGATCATGTCAGCTGGTATAAGTGGACCCCTACTCTCTTGGTTCAAGGAGTACCTGGAAGGGAGGCAGTTCTGCACTAAAGTGAACAGAATAAGGTCGGAGTGGAGACCGTCGACGTCAGGAGTATCCCAAGGAGCAATCCTAGGACCGCTTCTGTTCCTCCTCTTTGTCAACGATCTGCCAGACAAAATATCCTCACCCATCCTCCTCTTCGCTGACGACATAAAAATTTGGAGGGTGGTAAACGAAGAAGCCGACTGTGCAGCACTACAAAAGGACTTGCAGCAACTCGAGCTCTGGTCGTCGGAAAATGGTCTGAGCTTCAACTGGAAAAGTGCAAAGTAATGCACATCAGTAAAAATGAGGCAAGTACGACCGACTTCCAGTACATGTTGAGCAACCGTGCTATCACCAGAGTGTCCATGGAGAAAGATTTGGGGCTCAACTTCTCCGACACCTTGGACACCAGCTCCAACTACAAAGGTATGACAACCAGAGCGAACGCCATTCTACACTTTCTGCGTAGACAGCTTGGCGCCCTCACTCCCGAACTCTTCCTTACCATTTTCAAATCCTACGTGCGGCCGCACCTAGAGGTCTTCAATACGGTGGCTCCTCCAACACTCAAGAGAGACTCTAATCTCCTTGAAAGAATACAAAGAACTGCAACAAAATCAGTTGTGGGGCTAAGGGGAAAGACGTATCCTGAAAGACTTAAACACCTCAACCTATTTACCTTGGGTTATCGCAGGAAAAGGGGTGACCTCATTATGGCATACAAGATCGCCCATCAGGCAGACCATGCAAACAAATCAATTTTGCCTGCAACTGAACGATCTTCACGAGGAAACCCCTTTAAGATAGCACACCAGAGAGCCAACACCACACTCAGGTCCAAATTTTTCTCCCTGAGAGTATGTGCTTTATGGAATGCCTTACCGCGACACATCGTTATAGCTCCTTCAATCGACTCTTTCAAGAGGCGATTAGACAGTTATGTCACCTCGCATGGACTACCACGGACGTACTCAGGTAGTCACCAACCTCAGTACCCCCAACTCCCTCCTAACTACCACTCACTATCTCTCTCCTTAATACACCCACATTACCTACTAATTCTTCTGTAGGAACCAAACCCACGCGACCATTCGGGCAATTCCCAAATACTTTTCTTTCGTTCTCATTTCTCTCTTCACCCCTTCTTTTATTCTCCTTCCCTTTCCTCTTCCCTACATTATTATTACTATTATTTTTATTTTTAATTTTATTTATTTATTTTTTTTATTTTTTTTTATTTTTTTATTTTATTTTATTTATTTATTTTTTTTTTTTACTCTTCCTTACTTCTCTCTTCATTCCTTTACCACTACCTTAATATTCTCTTTCAGGTACCTACACAGACAGGAGTCACGGTTGTTCTCTAAACTTCCCAGCAGCCCGTAGCTCCCTAATCACTCTACAAATTACAACCTACTAACCCACAAAACATCCACCTCACCGAAGCTAAAAGCAAGAAAGCAGAGGGGATTTCCTCGTCCACTGCAGGAGTGAATCGAACAACTGGAACCAAGCCCTAAGAACTAGACGCGAGCGATCAAAAACTACTAGTTTTCTACGCTCGCACTATCAATATTGGATATTGGAACTCTTACGATCAACCTTAATGGATGTAGGTTTTTTTCGTATAACCCCGCACTGCAGTCTATGGGTGCTGCGCACACAATACTCCTGCTTTTATTCACTTAACTGAGAGATAATGCCACTCAGGGACCTTGGTCCTTGGAGGTCATGGATAGTGCGCAACGTTTTTGAAGTCCGGCTGGAAGTTAGTTTTGAAATATTCTTCCAGACTTCAAGGTTCTGGGTGTTTTCACTGTGTCATTCGGGTTTCATTCTCGGTTTTATCTAAGATTACATTCTATAGTTTTGCAATACGGCCACGTTATAAAACATTTAATAAACGGCCTACCGATACTCTTTGTTGTACATAGTCGCTGCAGCAACTAGCAGGAATAAACGTTTCTTTTATCGTAGGATCTAAAAGGTCTGTCCCTGGTCTTCTTTATCTTGATTGGTGACGTAGGTACCGTTTTGCCCAACCTTACACGTATTCCTGATGCCCAGTCTGATCATTACTAAGGATGAAGATATTTTGAGGAAAGCTAATGTTAGTTCTCTGAAGCAAATATGACTATTACTCCCCACTTTCTTCAGTGTCAACCTTCCTCGAAATTGTGTCTTTCCTCAGAATTTCCCTCTAGGCATGCGGAACAACGTAGATCTTAAGAATTCCCGTAGCCTTTCCTCGCAATTGATCGTTGTCGGAAAACAATTTGCTGCTGTTGCCCCATCCAGATAGCTGTATGGCTTTTCCTTAAACTTTCATCATAGCTTAGCTGTCCAAGCTAAAAGGGTAATTGATTTTTGTTCTACCACTATCCAACAGATCATTTGATCATGGTACGAGATCAGTGAACACCTATTCACATTAGCATAACTCTTTTGACCGTGGCATCTCTAAGCTCATAAGTCCCCTCTCAAACTTGCCAATCATCTGCACTTAACAGCAACTATAAAGTCGAAGGAGCTGGACTACATGAGTGGGACGAAGAGTAATAGTCTAAGATGAAAATCTTGAACCATCCCACTTAGCAGCTACAGGTATCCGACCAGAGATTAGTAAACTCTTACTAAATGGGACAAATTATTTAGGTAATTTCATAACCATCTGAGCAACGGTGCACGGAAACTGATCGCTAAATATCACGTGGTAGGTCATGATTAGCAGTTGTAAGCCTTAAAAAGAAGCCAAGCATCCCAATATGGATGGGGTTTTCATGCTCTATAAAATGGTGTTCGAAGTTGATTCCTCCCTGTATTTCATTTAAATGTTGCCATGAAATTTCCATCCTTGACAAAATGAAGGTTAGAACACCTAAGGTATTGATGCAACGGCATCTATGAATGCACAGTGATTGAATTGAGATATTAAGAATTATTGCATGAAGTGGAAGGGTTTTAAATGGCAGTACGTCTAGCAGTAATGAAGATAATAAAGTGAAAAACTAGTCAGTGAAATACTCATGAATACTACAAAGAAGTTGAACGTATAGTTCGGATGTTGTCTCTGGTTGACCCAAATCCCTCCTACAAAACCAAGCAGGACAGTGCTTAGTGTTGTAGGAAATTCACTATAAGTGGTCTACATAACCATCTTCTGTGTATCAGTTGGCTGTATTGAATCACTGTCGTGGAATTACCAAATCAAAATGGCTTAACTGTGTTCTTTTTTTCAGGAGGAATAATGAATGGAGTCAGTTTCAACCATACTGAGCCAATGAATCTAGGCTCACCTCCGAGTTCAAACAATTCTCCAGGTGCTTACCAGTATCTCCCAGGATTTCTTATGAATGAAAATCCACTGGTTGTAAACCCAGTTGCAACCAATCCGTTTACAGAATCTAAAGTTTCGCGTCAAAATCCTGTTTCCCCTCTATGTGGGAACTCACACAACATGCCAGTAAGTTTAATTGTTATTAATGGAGTTGACTTCTGTATACTTGCATATAACTTTTTCGGATTCCTGATTACTAATATTTACAGGTCTATTGTTTTCCAAAGATTCGACCATATCTGAAATGTAGCATCCGTTTTCGTATTGGATCACTTTCATATATTCTGTTTAGAGGGTAGGCGTAGAGTTATCTACAGGGAAGTTAGGCTGATCCTGCATTTACTGAATTCATCAAGAAATGTGTTCAGTGTAACGACTTATCGCTTATTATGACACAGCGTCACCTTGAGTAGGATTAGATTTGATAAAAACCGAGTATTGCTACTTTCAAAACTATTTCATTGGGCCGCGTGAAGGATTATTGGGTAACTGATCAAAGTCCAAAACAACCGGCGATTTTAAGAAATATGGCATATATTCTAACGCATACCATCTCTGGTGCGGGCTGGGTATCTTGTCACATCAAATTGAATGTTGTTCAGCAGTTTGCTTCGTTTTCCTCTACAGCTGTGAAATGTGATCCCTAAAATTAGAAGGCATGGTGAGGTTATAGGTTTTTGACCACGGATATCTTTGTATCACTGCTAACCTCAGTACAGGAGTTGAAGCTCATTAGTTTAGGAACTCGACCATCAATTAGTAGGTCATACGTTTGAAGAGTATTTCACTTACCAAGTTTTGAGCGGTTGGACAGCATTGTTAGCCACTGCAGTAGATTCAGCTTATAGGTCGCTGTACAAACCAGCACATAGTTGCTGGGTGCATTTATTTTTTTCGTTATAGTTTACGTGTTATGGAACCACAGGTTGTAAAGTCCTGGGTAAGTTAATGAATGAGGCTTGGGATCTTCACTGTCTATTAGGTTTTAAACAGCTGGTACGTGAAGTGTTAGCTGAAGTGGAATTAGGTTCAAAGGAAGCCAAATTTAGCCTAACCAGTTGATACCAGTTCAAAATGTATTTGATTGTTGGTATGAGGATGTATGGAATGCCCGATACACTGAAGATTTGAAGTGTTAGTATTCAGTGATTGAAGAATCTTGAATCAAAATTGGTCACGGTGATATTGATGCTTACATACATCATCTATCGTTTTTGACATTTCATGCATTTATTCTCCCTAATGAACTTGAATAACTCAAGTAGAACAACACTTGCAGAACGACATGATGTCATTTTATTCCATAGAATTTTCGTCAGCTACGTGCAACCTGAATAAATTAGTGACTAGTCACTATAAAAGTACTAACGCCTTTTAATACACCTGGTTAATGTTTTAAATATCAAGAAAGCATTACAATTCAAAACACAAAAGACGTTTAGGTAATATATTCACTCATACTGGACAAATGTTATATTAGGTAAAGTGAGAAATGTTCACAAATGAGTGCAACAAGACTAAAAGTACATAGAAAGCAGTTGCGTAATCATAAGAAAGTGTCATCCTAACAAAGTGACAAATGAATGAGATGAAATTATCGTGATAGCAAACACGAGAATCATGAAAAGATAATCAATATAAGTATGAGAATGAGCATAAAGTAAATATACTAAAATATTTTGGTATAGAGAAGAGGCTGAAAAGTCTAACTACCAATGCGGTTTCAAACATCTTGACATCTTTTTGTAACCTCACGTGGCCAATATGGTGAATCTACGGAATTCATCCTTCGAGTTTCTAGAGATTCGATGGCTAGCTATTGTGATGTTGCAGGTTTGGCTATAACATTGATTGCTAAAGCAGAAAGTGTACTGTTCAAGTGGATCCCAATTAATAGTCGCCTGTGCGCTTTTTCGCTGTACGATGTAGTTAGGACTAAGATGAACTATAAAAATCGCGTTTTCATTGTTATATCTTGTGCCTCCAGTGATTGCAGCTGGGGTAAATTGGAAGGTTAGTTCTACGGAAAACTGTCTAGCCTCCAGCTGAAAGCCAATCGTTCAGACATGGTTGTCATAGCGCGTGATTTGAATGCAGTGGTCGGTAGGCTAAGTCAGACAAAATAGCACTTTCGGAACCCCAGCAAGCCGAACGCATAACAGCGATCACCTCCAATAACTGTGCTCAGGCACCCATCTATTTCTGAACAGCATGGACTTTAAAAGCAAGAGGAGACGTTGTCTGACATGGTGTCCATCAGCCTCAACTCAGAGGTGGACATAGACCATGTTACTATCATTTGTCGCTGGTGTAGGTCAGTAGTAGGTTGTCGCTTCTTCTGGAGCATGTGTTTGCACAACGATCACATTGGTTTGGGCTTCCTTATGTCCGATCGTATAGAGGCGTGGGAAAAATTCGACGAACAAACCATTCCAAGCTGAACTCGACGATGAAAATACTGTTTGCTTTCGGTGCGAAGCCGCTTAGATACGTCGAAACACAGCAACCTCATTCATTTAGAAGTTCAGTGACAGGGTCTAAGGAGACTGGAAATGAGGTTTCCATTGTTGTGATGATTAGGAATATTTGCAGAATAAGGGGTTGAGGAAAGTGTAAGAGCCTTATTGTTAGTATCCGGAGGTGAAGCCAAAGGAGGAGACAGTTGAAAAGGATAGGTTGTGTTTCATTGGGTCTTGTATACTTCTGGATTTGTCCGGCCGCTGAGACTTCTCGGCTGCCCACACCATGAAAAGCTAGTTCTTCTTGGATAGTGTGTGACTGCAGAACCCAAGGGATATCTGCCTGAAGCCTGTCACACACGGCCTTTAGGCAATTTCGAGATTTTGGTTTTGAATCTAACTATGAATCCCTGTTGCAGACATCGACATGCCGCGAGGGTGTAGGAGTGTGCTACTTGTGGGGCCGTCCTTTTCTAACTTCTCTCCCACAGGTAAAGCAGCATCAATGCGACACTTTAAAAAATGCGGTTAATCAAAACATTAGTGCTTTCGGAGACGTCAAAGAGGGAATCCATTCCACCAAGAATTCTCAACCACTAATTCCCATCTTCTTAGGTGCTGCGGCCAAGTAGTCTGCACCTCCTTATATGGCTCGGACCAACAGTCGGGGACTTCATGGACTAATGCCACGTCTTAGTCCGGTCACGCTGAACCCTCTCCCAAATTAATCCAACTTCCCCTATCTTGGCATATCAAGGTGTGAACGGTGGCTAGGCCTACACAGCACATCTTCAGGACACCTCAGACAATTAGGGTTCAAAACCTGATTGTCCGACTTGCCTTCCTTCACTAGAATCCTTCTCCCGATTTCATTATTTCTCATATGGTGATTCCACCATATGCGAGCAATGCTATAAAAGCACGTGATCGAAAACTTGTAAACGCTTCATATCTTATCCTTCAGGCGTCACGAAGAGTCGCCAGTCATTGGTTCATGTCATCTATGGTACTCCAGCAAGGCAGTCTACACCTCCCTAATCTACTCAGACCAGCAATTAGAGACTTCCTGGATTGGTGTCAAGTCTGAGTCTGGTCACCCTTAGCATTCTCCCAACATAATCCTTCCTTGGATAACATTGCAGGTTGAGGTAGGTGGTGGCTTGATATGCCCAACATATGTCCAAGTTATCTCAATCGGTTAAAGTTCACATAATCGGCTAATTTGCTGTCCTTATTCATTGCTAGCATGGTGATTCCACGATACGTATGTCATTGGTTTTTAACAGCCAAGTTTCACAACTGTATAACAGAAAAGAGCGGACTGCTGTGTGGTTTGCAGGTCATTTTACAAGTAGTCGGATATCTCACCATCCGGCTCCAGGGATGGCGTAATTGTGCAAATACTAAACATCCCTTGCGAATTGAGGCTGAGGTTCGATCAGCATCCAGACCATTTGGAATGATGAAGCTTGCCAAGTAAGTGGAGTGATCAACTCATTCCACCACCTCTCTGTATCCGTAGACTGGGAGTTTGCGCAGAACAGTCCTGAAGCATCATCTTATATGTAACAGGTGCGAAATTCATGCCAAACATTCATATTTTTGCTCAAGTAGTTTAGAGAATTCTGCATTTTGTCAGCGTCTTCATACACACATTAAGTGTGGTTCGTAGACAAAAGCATACATTTGCACTGGGTTAAGGTGTACTAATCATGAGGAGTTAGAATATAAATATAGGTGCTTTACCCTTTTTGAGCGATAATTCATCTCATATACATATTACAATAATTTTTCAGGTTCCTCTGCATAGTGGGAATAAGCTGCAACCAAGATGTCTAAGTCAAACAGGTGAATCGGTTGGGCGTCGTCTTACATCTCCTCCAACACGAAGTATGTGGTCGACTGTTAGTGGCACTGGTGTTCGTGCAAACAATACTGTAGACAGTCTTGGAGGATTAAAGCATAGCACACCAAATTACTCTACTGGTGCATCAGTTAACCCATCAGTTAAAAGGTTGGGTGTTGCTAGCCCTTTTCAATCACCTGCTGAACCAAGTTATCATCGTAACCCCCTCCATAATATTGTAAATAAGACAACACCTTTAATTGGATCACCGCTTCATAACAACAGTGTCGTTTTAAATCCAAACGATGGTAATGCAAACAAACAAGATGGTCTTTTAACTCCTGATCGTTTGGCTGAAGCACTGTTTACACATCAAAGGTAAGTGAATCGCTCAGATTTACAGTTTGCTTATTTGTTGTTCACTTGCGATTCTATTGATTTTTAGCTGAATCAGGCGCTCTGTGTACTATTTACACTGTTGTTGTGATCAGATGCCAGTTATTCTGATTCGTGAGGAAAGACTGATAGTTTTACTTAAATTTCATTCATTTGTTTCTTCTTTCATACACTTCTGTCTACTTAAATGGGATTCCTTGTTCAATCATCTTCTTTGTATGCCGCTTTGTAGTGTGGCAACTGGAATTATCTAACTTCACTGCGACGTTATCTCTTTCTCTCTGCAGTCATGTGGTAGACTGCTGCGAACGGCTATTTAAACTTCCTACGACAAATATTTCTCATCAAGAGTATTGACTGTGTTGACCTTAATTTGATTATGGTTAACATTCACCTGAAGTACAGTAATTTCTTAGAAATGGGTTTTCTGCTAAGGTTTTGTAATTGACACAGATAATAGACATAGGGTAGCTACCACTTGGTAGAAGTAATGCATGGAAAGTTAGAGAGTGGAATAGCGCTATACACTGAAATCAGTAACTATCAACTTCGTTTGAGTAATTGTAGACTCATTCACTAGTATCCGGATAACCAGTTACCGACACCGTCAAGAAGTTTGAGTTATTCGTGTTATCTCCAGTCTTCACTTTTTATACTGTTTATTTTCCCCCCTTTAGTTCTAACGATATTGATAGTGCAAATCCAAACGATTGTTGGGTAACAGTTTTCGGGTAAGTACTGAATATTTGACGTTTATTTTTGTGTTCATTGTGCTAGTATATTGAAAGTTTGTGACATTAGTGTCTTGGTAACAATGTATATTTTGGAAATGAATATAAAGGTTGCGCTCTATAGCAGTACCCGAAGTTGATAAGGTCGAAGGCAGAGGCAACCAGAAAGTGTCAGTCGTTTGAATGCATCCATTAGATTTAGAATTTATACTCATCATGAGACCTCTTCCTCGCCTCACAAGTTATTTTCCACGCCACCACCTACAAAATCTCCTACACTGACTTAAAGTTCTCATGCATCTGCAGATGTTACCAGCGTTTTCAGTCCACATTTCCAGTTTTGTTTCTGTTATTTTAACTATATTTTAGCGCATTCATTATTCGCAGTGTTTAGAAGTATACCTACATACATAATTTGAAGTCATTTTCTCTTTGCATGCTACTGTAAATTGTGGCAGCTTAGACCGATCCACTTATGTGCCAGGTTCTACTTTGATTTATCTGTATGTCTGTCAATCGCAACAGCCCAGATGCATTCGGTCTGACATCTTTGGAAGTCTGGACATTCTGCTTTGTCTTGATTTTTCAAATATTGTCTTTTCCAATCCACTTGTCTACTTTGATATGGTTCTTTTCTACTGATTTGTTCTTTGCATGGTGTTGCCCCACCGGTAGCTGCTACCTTGACGTGGTGGTCAGGCTTGCATATCACAATAACCCAACGAGCTATGATGGTGAAACACTTGTCCCCTCGAGGTCCTACCATGCCAAAAGGTCTGTTGGATAGTGGTTAAACGAAAAGCAGTTACCGTTGTGGTGTAAATTACTACACTATGATAGGGGTCTGAGGGCGAAGTCGTACTGCTGCTAGCTGGATGAGGTGTGACAGCTGTAAGTTGTTTCTCTTGGATGGCTTACAGTGCCGTGTTGACGCTGCCTTCTCAGCGGAAGGGGAGTTAGAAAAGGTCGGCCCAAAAATAACACACTCCACCATACCCCACGGTCTACCGGGCCGGCTGTGTTGGTTCATTTATCGTTTCCTTTCGACCATCCGGCCCCAAAACAACACAAGTTCAAAACTACCACACATAAAAGGCTGCGTGGGACAGGCCTCAAGCAGATATCCGATGGGCTCTGGGGTTGCACAAATCTCTTTCAGGGACCTTAAAGAGAAATAGCGTTTCACGGTGTGGACAGCCGGGAAGTGTCAACCGCCTTCACAACTCTACCGGCACTCAAGTTTCCTCAGACTTCTCTCCACCTCCCTCATCATTACCTTCCAATTTTCCTTCACATCTCTCAATTAACAATACTACATCATCTTCGATTTCTCGTAGCTCTGCAGCCTTCGACAACGATCTGAGTCCACAAAACAGCATCCTTGGTCTCCTCAAACCACCCTCCAAATTACATATTGGAGTCGTCAGGGTCCACACCCTTCGTCAAGTTGGTCAACAGGCTTCATTGGCAAAGACTGTAGCAACTCGGGCTGTGTTTGTGAGACACACATACAGGACCCAAGTGCGGTTATTCACCTGAAATCTCCTCTAGAAAGCGAAAAGTTCGGACGCGGTGGTTGTTGCAGGTGATTTCAACACAGGTGGGTAGACAGAGTGAGGCAGAAAGGCACTTCGGTGGCACTTTCGCAATCTCGGCTGAACGGACAGATAACGGTGATCGCCTACTACAATTGTGCTCAGATAACCGCTTAGTTTTAGCTAACACAAATTTCAGACAAAGAAAGACACTGTCTCACTTGGCATCCACCGAGCTCAACTCAGCGATGGACACAGATTGACCACATTGCCGTTAGTCCTCGCTGGAGAGGATCGGTAGAAGACTGCCTCTCCTTCTGGAGTACATGCTTGTATGGCGACCATGCGTTGGTCCGAGCGCGTATATGCCTGCGTCTCAATGGACGTAGGAAAAATTTGGCAACAAAACCACTACGAACACTGCTGAACAACGAAAACACCAAGGCCGCGTTCAGTGAGAAGTTGGCTAGACAGTTATCGGAACGAGAGACTGTCACTCATCCAGAAAAAGCCTGGTGCCATCTTCAGTCTGCTGTCAAAGCAGCACTGAAGACCGTAGCCGACTCCGAAAGAGTGACTAGGAAGAGCCAGTTGATACCAGCAGCTTGTTCCGAACTAATGGATGCACGTGAACGCATCCCTACAGGCTCTGAGTACAATGAAGAGGGAGCGCAACTTAAAAGTAGATTGAGAAAAAGTCTACGTGAAAAAAGCGGTGGGCAGTGGAGGCTAGAGATGGGAAAGGCAGCGGCGATTGGTAACAGTAGACAGTTATTTAGACTTATTAAGGAAACTGGGGGGGAAAGGTCAACAGCAGTTGGTGAAGCTATAGCGGAGAAGGACGCATCTGCGATTCACTCGCAGGGGAGACGGCTGGAACGATGGGTAGAACACTTCGAGGAATAGTTTAACTGGCCTCTAGCCACCATTGCGTTGCCCGCTATCCAGTCGGATTCTGAATGGGACATAGAGGTAGGCCCCCCAACACTAGGAGAAGTTGAGAAAGCGGTAGGTAACCTGAAACAAGGAAGGGCGACAGGACCAAACGGACTAACTCCAGAGGTATACAAGGGTAGTGGTAAGGTGCTCTTAGGTTAACGGAAGTGTTAACCAGTATATGGGAATTAAGTACGATCCCCTCTAACTGGTCTGAATCACTGATTATCCCAGTCTTCAAGAAAGGCGAGAAGTCCTCTTGTGATAACCACAGAGGAGTCAACCTGACGAATATAGTGTCCAAGATCCCAGGTCCTATAATTCTCCGACACCTGAGTGGAGCTTGGGAACAACAATCCCGAGAAAACCAGGAAGGCTTTAGACCTGGTCGCGTGTATATCGATTAAATATTCACACTGCGCCAAATCCTGGAACATAGGCACGCTTATAGACAGCCCGACAATAGCTGTATTTCTCGACCTGAGAGTGTTATTCGACTCCTTTGATCGAGAAGTCTTATGGCAATGTCTGTCACTGAAAGACGTGCCGAGTAAATACATCACCTTATTGAAGGCTGTCTACTCGAACACTTGTGGGCATGTTAGAGCCTATGGTGAGATGTCCATGGAGCTATGCTCATCCAGTGGTGTCTGTCAAGACTGCCCACTCTCTCCATTCTTATTCAATTTTATCATAGATATTCTTATGGAGGTTTCCCTCTCGTCGCCTGATTGCACATAGGTTGACCTAGTCGCAGCAGAATTTTCGTTAGACCTAGAATACGCAGACGACATAGTTTTGTTAGGTGAAGACGCTGACAAGATGCAGAGTCTTCTGAACGCTTTGTCTGGCAATTTGAGAATGTTTGGGATGCGTTTCTCACCACCCAAATGGAAATTGTTGCTCCAGGATTGGTCTTCAATGGTGCCCCACCGCGGCTAACAATAGTGTAGTGGTTGAGTGTGTCGACCACTAAACTTACCTGGGAAGTAGGATCAGCCCTGATTGCTGGCTCAGTGGGCAACAAAATCTCTGCACGGATACAAAAGACTCAGTTGGATTTTGCCAACTTACGGCACCGCCGTGATATCCGATTTTCTATTAAGGGTCGCGTGTACTGCACTTGTACTGCAGTCTGTTCTGTTCTACCGCTTGGCTGTGAAATATGGCCATTGAGAGTGGAAGACATGAGAAGGCTTCAGGTGTTTGACCACGGTTGTCTTCGTAGTATAGACTGAATTCCGTGGTGTCACCATGTGAGTAACACAGAAGTCAGGTGTAGAGTTTTAGGGAGAAGAGATAAGTCAGTTGACGAGGTTGTGGTTGGGACACGTGCTATGTGTGCCTAGTCGCCGATCGCGTCGTCACACAATGTTGGCCGAAGTATGTTCAGACTGGGGAATGGCCCGAGGTGGCCAGACTAAAACATGGCACCAATGTATGAAGTCTTTGATTGTTGGTTTAAGCCATGTGGAGCGATGCAGACTGGGTGGTTGGGGTCTGTGAGACAAGAGGAACCAGTGGTTGGGGACTCTAGATGATGTGACTCAGAACCGATGTCAATGGTGCAGATGTACACATACATTATCTTCATCTTAACAACGCTATACCGAATCTCACCATTTTCTCATTCCTCCTTTCTCTCTTTTAGTAATTTATATTTCCTTTGACTGAATTTTCTTTTCTTAACCTTCCACCTCACTACGCTTTTACTGAATGTACTGATAGGAGCTGTGGCAACTTGGACCGTTACGCAGTAATACCTGGTCCTATGTTGTTTTGGATGGATTGCACGATGTTGTCGAATGTGGCAACTTGCGTCGATGCGCTTCTGTCCGAGATTCTACGTGGATTTTTCAATCTGTCTGTTAGGGATTATGGTTATACCCGATCGCCCAAATCCAAATAAACTTCAATCCAAGAATCACGGTTGGATAATTAAATGCAAAAGCCAGTGTGCCACACTTCCACATTTTTCAGGATTAGGTCGAACTAGAACCTTTGCTATTCTATGTACGTCAAGGTGTTACAAGATGCAAACGACTGACCAGTGGAAAGGATCTCATAAGATAAGATTGGCTTTTATCAATCACGAAGCAGTGTACATTATCATTTCACCAGATGTCTAATCTCACCTGAAAAAAGCATACAGAAAGGATCCCACCAAAACCAAGATGTCTTTTTTTCGAAAACGTTGTGCTGTAGAGAAATGTATGATTTTCCGACTTTCAGGTCCAATGGATCTTACAGGGTGGCCGCTCATAGTCTACAAGAATAATCAAATTCATTCACTGAGCAGGGCAAGTGCACAAATGTCAGTGGCTCACCACAAGCCCTTACACTGGCCCATGAGCCGCACTTACTATGTCAGTTTATTCTAATACCTAGTTAGCCACTCAAAGATCAGTTGGAGAGCCCCGATCGGCCAATACGCTCAAATAGTATCATGAACCGTCCTACGATGGGGGTATCCTATTACTTGGTACCTGAGCATTAACGTTAACCACTCACTTTGCTGGTATGATATCCGAATACGTATGAAAATAAAAGCGTCCTTCGTAGCACTAATCTACTTATAGCTTTATCGATCATTAAGTGAGATTCCGCTAGGTTTCTTGTATTCTTTGTCACTAATCTATCATTCTAGGTTCCCTCCGCCTCGTGCAGCTTTCATTCTTAATCAATTTGCTCAACTCGGTACAATTGAAAAACATGTGGTAAGTATGGTTTGTTCGTTGCATGATTATTATTTCGTTGTTATTCTTGAGAGTCTTTCTCTTGGAATTTTCAGCACATCTTGCCAATGAGCTTAAATATTTTAAATAAAACTATGCAGCTGGACTGTAGCAGGTATAACTGAAGTGTTTAATTACTTGGACTCAAATTTGAGAAATGGAAGAAGAGGCGGGAATTCCTTAGAGGAGTTCCGAATTGATATATCTGGCTTCCTGTTGGCAACCTGGACACGTATAACGTATGAAAGTGAGGATTCAGCTGAGATACATGGTCTAGACAGACATCTGACTTCCGACCAGTGAGTCACGCATTCAAGCCTCATTACACTTACGGAGGCTTGGAAACTTTGCAGACTCTCAAACAATAGATATGGCTTGTTGACCAGTGTATGAGTCTGCACGTAGCTGCTGGGTTGCATTACACTTACACCTCAGTTTGTAAATGCACTAGTACCCTACGTCAATTGTACCAGTGACCATATCGAGTGGCTGAATCGGTGTGCCCAGTCGTCACTTTGAATCAAAATGCTGCATCGGTGGCCAGTTGTCCATACTTCTAGAGTTTGGTGTAATCTCTTACTGACCTGATTTCGCAGATGCGAATACATGGAGATTGGAAGGAGAAAGAAATTTACACGAGTGAACTGAATAGAAGTTATAACACTATGGGGTACTATGCATATTTTAAAGCAAATCTCTAAGCAGGGGTGCTCAGAACAAGGAAGTGTCATCCAGTCATGAAGTCTCCATTTGGTTGTTCGAGTGAATGGGGAAATGTAGGCCGTTCAAGAGATTAGGGTACTTGAGCAGTTTAGGAAACCAGTGGTTGGAGACTTTTAATTATATGATTCCACACTAGTCACAATGGTGCAGATGTATTCGCTCTATTATCTTCGGAGTCTTGCATATTTTCGTTGACTTTCAACGCTAGATTCTCTCCTCTGTTATGTAGTTTTGATTGCTTTTATATGCTTCGTCTTTTGTCCACTTCTTCTTTGCATTCTGCTGCAGTGTACCATTTTGTACCTTGAGATATTTGTTTACTTTCAAGGAGGCATTTTTGTTTTCCATATTTACACACATTTACTGATAAAGCGTCATTGCTGCCACTGGTATTTTTTGTATTTTATGGCTTCTATTGTAAAGTAAATGATACAAAGGAACACAATATTTTATTTATATATGAGGACTTTCGTTACTATACGGTTAACCATTTCTAAATTTATGGATTTGGACTAGAGTTATTGTGCTTAGATCTGTAAGCCATATTCCTAATTGTAATTATTGGGAAATAGGACAGATGTGTTATCCTTATACAAGGATGGTAAAAAGAACAGTAACTCAAGCAGTTCTGTATGAACTCATGTTTCATTGCGTTCATTCCCGTTATTACCAAAATATGTAATAGTTGCCTTAATAAAAATACACTAAGTCGCTGAAAAGTGGATGAATTCTAGCCGACGGAATTGGATGTTATTCTCAAGATGCTATGGATTAATAGATTCTGTAAAGTATGAACTATTGGATGTCAACTCAGTGTTCAGATGATAAAGTGTCCATCACTAGACATGAGGTTTTAGTTATGATCCAGTATTCAAATGATTTAGACTTTATAATCAGTCGATTTCCTCACAAACCACCCAATCGAGAAATGAATTGAATTCATATCATTTTGCTGTAATAGTATTGTTTTACATTCTACACTATATTTAGAGGTAGGCGTTTAGAGAAATTCGAAACTGTTGTTGAACATCTGAAACACTCATATTGGCCATATCATCGGTCGTGTCTGTTATATATCCTTCATAATACATAACTGGGATGAGTTATGTAATCTGTCCGTCGTGATATAACCTATAGACTTGGACGGACGGATAATGTCGTCAGCAGTTGTATAACAGGAATGATTTATAATCCATTTATGAGTTACCATATCGAGTTACATAACTGTTTTATTTTCTGTTTCATTGAACTTGTTTTACTATTGTAACCTCAAATTTACATTGTATAATATTATTTTAGATTACGAATAGTGGTAACTGGATGCATATCAAATATCAGAACAGGATGCAAGCTCGTTGTGCTTTGAATAAAAATGGCAAAGTATTTGGTGATAATATAATGGTCGGTGTATCTGTGTGTACTGATCCGGTAAGTAAGCAAAAGAAAATTTAGGCTATGCGATGAAATGTTTTCAGTCAATTTTGTGATCGCTTTCAACCTAAGGCGCTTTCTTAGTCGACCGTACGTGATGTGTGATGATCGCCACCAACAACTCGGTGTTCTTCTGTTTCATCTATAATATCATTTGGGTTAACAAACTACGTACACCAAACCATATCTATAACCCAAGTCAGTCCTCTGGTCAAGTTTTATTCACATAGACTAACTACGCAATCACACACAAATAATTATACCATATGGATCACCATCCTTGAGGTCATGCCTTCTCATAAATCTCATCGAATACTGAGTATACAGCCTTCATTACTGTTTGTTATCTCACGCTCAAGGCACAGTTATATCTGTTATTTTAAGCTCCAATTACTAATAAATTTGTCGACAGAAACACTGTAATCTATAGACCAAAAATGTTATAACAACAAGTGGTTAAAGTATTAGTTATTTGACATAGTCCTGTTAGGTGAAGACGCTGACAAGATGCAGAGTCTTCTGAACACTTTGAGTGGGAATTTGAGAATGTTTGGGATGCGATTTTCACCACCCAAATGCAAATTTTTGCTCCAGGACTGGTCTTCAGCGGTACCGCGGCTAACAATAGAGAGTGAAGTGGTTGAGTGTGTTGATCACTTCACTTACCTGGGAAGTAGGATCAACCCCGGTGGGTTAGTTGCCGATGAGATTTCTGCACGGATACAAAAGGCTCGATTGGCTTTTGCCAATTTGCGCCACCTATGGCGCCGCCGTGATATTCGTTTGTCTGTTAAGGGTCGTGTATACTGCACAGCAGTCCGCTCTGTTCTACTGTATGGCTGTGAAACACGGCCATTGAAAGTGGAAGATATAAGAAGGCTTCAGGTGTTTGACCACCGTTGCCTTCGTAGTATAGGAGGTATTCCCTGGTGTCACCATGTGAGTAATGCAGAAGTCAGGTGTAGAGTTTTGGGGAGAAGAGGTAAGTCAGTTGACGAGGTTGTGAACCTTCATCGACTGAGATGGTTGGGACACGTACTACGTATGCCTAGTCACCGATTGCCTCGTCACACAATGTTGGCTGAGGTGGGTCCAGGCTGGAAAAAGGCCCGAGGTGGCCAGACTAAAACATGGCACCAATGTATGAAGTCTCTGACTGTTGGTTTAAGACATGTAGGACGATGCAAACTAGGTGGTTGGGGTCCGCGGGACAAGGGGAACCAGTGGTTGGAGACCCTAGGTGATGTGACTCAGAACCGATGTGAGTGGCGCAGATATATACACACATTATCCTCATCTTAACAACGCTATACCGAATCTCACCATTTTGTCACTCCTCTTTCCTTTCTTCTCGTACTTTATATTTCTTTTGACTGCATTCTCTCATCCTTCACCTCACTACCTTTTTACTTGATGTGCTGATATGAGGTGTGGCAACTCGGACCGTTACGCAGTAATGCCTGTTCCTATGTTGATAATGATGATGATGATTAGTTATTTGAACTGTAACCCCATAGTTATTAAACTATACGGATTCTGTCACTTTTCACTATATGGGAAACACAAATAAGTAATTTTCATTATCAATAATAACCCTGTGAAAAATGAAGTATCCTGTCCTCAATATTCCACAAAACTTACTATGATTTTACCTTTACTTAAGCATATATAGTAGTAAAATAGTTGATAGTATTATATTCTTTTACTGAATGGATCATGGTGATTATAAAGCTAACTTCTTTGAAATCCAGCATATCAGTTTCATGTTATTATGTAAAAATCGGTCGGATGAAAGTGGATATGTCATGCAACGTGTCATACTAAAGCATATTTGCTTATCTACTGCATATAACAAGAGCAAGACAATTGAGAAGCCGAGTAAAACTCCCTTCAAAGATTTACGCAGACTAAAGTTGAATTATGAATTCAATCCGGAGGTTTGTGGCGACTTACCAACTGATTTCAGATTGGATTTCATCATAGACTGACACCAGTTGGAGGAACATTGGGAACCTGAGGGGAGTGGACATTCGTTTCGTCCTAGTATGGGACTCCTCAACAGTGCGCACCCGCGACCTCGTCAGGGATCGAACCCAGGACTTTCAGGTTTCATGGCCAGCACATTACTGTTGAACCACTGAGTCAGAACCCAACTATCTACATTCCCTACTTCTATCAATTCACGATACAGCGTGACCCACATCTGATATCATCTTTGAGTAATTATCGTCATGTTCGACTTGGTTGACTCCATTGGTCATGACTTATCGTTGGAACTTCAGGAATCACCCGTCGAAGCTAGTCACTAATGAGCAATATAATTATTCAATCTGGGTGGTTTGTGGAGATTTATTATTTGATTTCATGTTGAAAGTCGTCATGGACTGACATTAGTTGGAGGAAAATTGGAAATCTGGGAAACCTGAGGAATCCCATACTGGGACGAAACAGCTGTCCAGTGTTCCCAGATTTCTAATGTTCCTCTAACTGATGGCAGTTCAGTGATGAATTATAAACGTCCAGTTCATAGTTGTTACATACATCCTGAAAGAATTTGAGCGCTGAGTCTCATTTAATCATTACATAATTAAGTTTCAGTATGATCTCAGCGTGTTTAGATGGGATTCTATTAGAACACATTTCAATAAAATTGAATTGTTGATTATGTTAAGAGCGTTTCTGCTAATCTTTCATGTTCATTCTTTAAATATATTAAGTGAATATTTAAAGCAGCAGGATTCCCTCATACTCAGTAATCTAAATAAATATCAGTGTACATGAGACTATAGAATACTTTACTGCTTCAGCCTAATGATAATGATCCAAATGGACTTGGTCTACTTCTTTTCCTTTAGAACTAGGCTAATCGTTCATGTACAGGTAAAGATTCTTCTTGACAAGTTGAGGTATTCAGACCAGTTGTATTTAAGCTGGTGTCGGGGAGAATTTTATTATAATCGGTTGTTGGCTTGTTACTTTGTGGGAATTTGTCTTTCTTAAGTATATTCTCCTACATAAAGTGCATGTCGAGCTGAGAAGTTGGTGTATTTCAGTTCATAAAACTGGTTGATGGACCTGTTGTTTCCAAGTTAACAGTTTATTTGCTGACTTCATAAATGGTAATTGTTTCATGTTATTCTGCATAGTCATTGCTAGGTTATGTTATTTATTTTCTTTCTCCTTGACAGCAAGTCATGAATGGAGAAACGTCTGGTCTATTTTGTAAACAGACAAACACTAGCAATATCAATGATTCTATATTCCTTAGTCCATCGAATCATGTTAGGCGTGGTGTCGATGAGAACAATCAAGCGATTGGAACTGTGAATAAAACTCCACTTCGAGATTTAGGTGGACTAAGGTCTAATGTTGGTGACAACTCAACAAATATTGGGACTGATTCTAATCACACTTTTTCAGAGAGACCAGTAGGCAATATTGGCAGACATAATTCAATGCGATCACTGGCTGCATCTACACGACCGACGAATTTATCAAGAACAACAAGTGTAAGTTACACACTTTGGTGTGTATTGCTACTGCTTTTCATCATATACTGTTAGGTGATTTTTATGTAGAGGTTAAAAGTTTATTTATCGAATGACTACCAGTTAGAAACCTGAGAGTAGTGGTCACAGTTTGACAACTTCCTGAATATTATATATTCTCTAATTATCGTAAAGAAGTACTGAAGGTTTCTTGACCAACAATGGACTGGATGGGCACCGAGTTAGTATGATTCCTTGTATAAGGTTTATTTTTACTTGTGTAATCCTAGCGTAGTATATTAGAACAAATAATAAAATAAACAAGTATTAAAATACAAATAATAAACACTTGTTTATTTGGTTATTAAACAAGTACTGTTGTTCACTTGGTGTTGTTTTTTTGTCTGCTTTGCTCACTTGTTTTGTTATTGAAGTTGACACTGGTTATGACAGTTAGAGACCAGGAAGACAGTAGAAAAGTGCTCTGTGCACACCATTTCTCATTTTGGGTTGGTATAGAATATTTGTAATTCAGGTGCATGAGTTTGATGATTTCGCATTTGTAAGCAGGAGGAAGCAATACGGCTAGTTTTTTCCACCTCAACATTTCCGTAGCGAAACATATGAGTTCATGTAGATTAATTTATCACTGCAAACAAGGAGGCAGACTTACAAATAGATAATTATTATTATTTGTCTCTTACGTTCCTAATGGAACATAGGACTTCAGTAGCACATCTCCAGTGCATTCTGTTCTCTCAAATCTTTTGAACCTCGTTCAACGACAGCCCACAAGCTCTCATTTCTTCCTCACACAATCTCCTTCATGTCACCCTCACCTCGGACGCCCAACTCGTTGCTTCCCATCGTGGCTCCACTCGAGTGCCTCGCCTGCAGCATACTGTTCCCAGTCGGCCTTCTCAGTGTATGCCCAATCCATCTACACTTCCTTATGCATATCTATTGAGCGATAAGTTCTTGGTTGGTTCGTTGCCAGCCAGAGTTCCTTGTTGCTTATTCTCATTATTCTGGCCATCTGATCTTCAGTAACGGGCCAGCGTAGGCAGTTGTTGATGAATATCTGTAGTTTGTTGGAAATCCCTTTCGTAACCCACCAAGTCTCTGAACCATACAGGAGCACTGACTTGACTGAATTGGTATTGAAAATCCACATCCTGTTCTTTGTGCTGAGTGCAGTAGATCGCCACACTGGTTTCAGGCTGATGAACGCCTGTCTTGATTTTCCGATCCTGGCTGACTTTGATGTCCTCGTTTGTGCCGCCGCCTGTAGTTGAAACGATGCTGCCTTGCCTAGATAGGTAAAAGAGGCTACTTTCTTTAAGTTCCTCCTGTTAATGGTGATTGAAGCTTGTTGTTGTTGTTGTCTTTGTTGGTTGGGCATCTTCATCATCTCTGTCTTCTCTACGTTCACTTGAAGTCCCATCTTCCTTCCCTGCCTGCCTCTTCTATCGACTTGTTAGTTTTCACCTATAGATCTTCAAGTTTGTGTGACATTAGACACAAGTCATGGGCGAAATCTAAGTCTTCTAGGATCTTTTCCCTGATCCAGCCTGCGTATACCCCTCTTCTCACAGCTCCTCACTGTTTGTTGCATGATCCAGTCCACTACAATCAGGAAGACGATCTGTGATATTAGGCAGCCTTGTTTTACTCCTGTCTCCACTTCACTTCAAAGTCATCACTGAGTTTCCCATTGTGAATTACATGTCATATGGCGTCTTCATATAGTTGTTGAACGAGGTTGATAAAGGTTTGTGGTATTCCGTAGTGTTGAAGCGATTGCCAAATTACTTGTCGGTCGACGCTGTCAAAGGCCTTTTCGAAGTCGATGAAGTTGACTGCCATTCTATGCTATGTTGATGCTATGATGATGCGAAGCGTTGCAATTTGGTCAGCACATGATTTTTACTTCCTGAATCCAGCCGGCCTGTTCCGGTCATAGTTTTGAATCGAGCGCATCCTTTAGTCTCTCCAGGATGATGCAGCTTGATATTTTGTTTAGTGTGGACAGGAGTGGAGCATGATTCCGCGCCAGTCCCTGCAAAGACTTAGGTCGCCCTTCTCTGGCAGTTTGACAAGGTAACCCTTCTCTCAATCCACCAACAGGTACCTTCCCTGAGTCCCTTCCTTACAAACCTTCTGCAAAAATGGTGTGAGCATGTCCACAGTTGTCGCTGTGTCTGTTTTCAATGCTTCTGGAGGAATTCCATCTAGTCCCGCTGCTTTGCCGCTTTTCAGAAACTTTATGGGGTTCAAGACTTCACTTCTGCTTTTGTTGGGGGATTTGTGTTCACTGGTATTTCTGTGACTGCAGGTGGCATTTCTGGACGAAGTGCGGGTGGTGGTCGATTCAAGGGCTTTTCGAAGTGGTCAGCTCATCGTTTCCTTTGTTGCTCTTCTTTGATAATTAGATTTCCTTCATGATCTTTCATTGGTTTCATCTGCGTTGATCTCTTCCCTCTCAGATAGTGACCTGGTTATTTGATACAATGTTGTCAGGTCTCTGTCTCTCTTACCAGCAGCCTTCAGCCCATCCTGCTTCACTTGTCAGTGTGTCGTAGAAGTGTATTTTGTCCTTACGTGCACTCTTCTTCACTTCTTTGTCCACTGCAGTGTTTTATACATTGTACTCACTTCCTCTTCCGTCGTTCATCCTTGCACTGCACTGGTTTATCTTCTGCTTCACCATCACCATCACCATCATCCTCTCCCTGCTCTATCAGCTTTCATGTGTCTGTCGAGATCCATTCCTTATCTTCTTTCTTCTTCCTTCCTAATACGCTTGTGCAGGTCTCTTTCCATATAGCTTTCAAAGACTTCCAGTGTTCATCCACACAGGTTTCTTCAGGGATGTTGCTCGATATCTCCCACTTTGTCTTGATGCCTGGCTGACGTGAAGATTTTCTTTGTAGTTACGTCCTTCAGCTTCTGTTCCGGGTGTTCAACTTGATCTGTGGTCTATCACCAGCTTCCTTGGAGGCTTTCAACTTGATTTGGAAGGCATGTTCCTTGCACTAGATAGTGGGTGAGTGGTGTGAACCTACATCTGCTCCTTTTCTTGACCTTGTGTCAGGTGGGCGGTGTCTCTGCTTTCTTGAGATTGAGATGAAGTTGATCGTATTTGTAGTGTGTCCTGTTGTCTGTTGAAATCCATGTCGCTGCCTTGTGGATATCCTTGTGCTTGATTGAACACAGCGCCTGGCCTCCAATCGCCAAATCGTTGAATGCACATAATTCTGCAAACAATTCTCCATTCTCGTTCATTTCGCCTAGAACTTCTCGACCCACGGTTAGTTTTCTTCTCGTGTTGTCCGCTGCGAGTTTGGCATTGATGTCGCTATCTGGGGTAGAGTCTTGTCAGTGTTGATTTCAGTTGTCTGTAGAATTCCTCCTTCTTCTCTTCCTCTGCATTATTTGTGGGTGCATAGCATAGCATTGTGTGATTGTGACTTTCCTTCCTTTGGATTTGACTCTCGCTACCATGATCCTGATCCTGGAGGAGTTTCGTTCCCACTGCATGAGGGAGAGCCTTCGATGCTGTTGGTGACAACATGATAGCCACTTCAAAACTCGATGTGCTCGTGGTTGTCTTCTGGGTGGCAATATCGGAGTAGATTATGTACTTTCCAGTTGACAGTTTTGAGAGTCCACTTCCATTCCATCTGCTTTCGCAGATTCGTAGCACTTCAGTGATATACCTTCTCAATCTGGGCAGCCTTGCCTACCAGCTTCAAATATTTTGTCCCTGTGCTTACTTACGCTTTCATCGAGAGAGAGGGGGCACATCGGCCAATTGGCTTCCTGAAGGCTTCCACCAACCGGCATCATTTCGCCTCTCCGATTCTAGCGAGGAATAATTTTGTTTGTATTTTCGATATTTTGTTTGTGCTCTGAAGTTTGTTTAGCGATTGGATTTGTTTTAGGGGGTAGGGTTGCTAGCCCTATGCCCAACCTTCCCTCTTTACCCGGGGTCAGGACCGCCTAGTAACTAGTGAACTTGTTAACCAGGTGAGGTTACAAATAGATAATAATAATTTTTTCTACCAGTGATTGATAATGGCTAAGAGCGGAATCCAGGACGTGCGTTTCGTCCTATTTGGGACTCCCCGGCTGGATATACCTCGTTCTCAGTGAGCGATGTTTCCCCGCTAAGACTTGCAAACGGGACCGGTCGCTTCAAACTCCAGAGTGTTATCCACTAGGCTACTGAGTCACGATAGCCACTTCATGTGTGATGGATTTCGTTTTAATGTTGTTACACGTACTGCCCCGTCGTTGTTGGGGCCGAATTGATCGGTTTCTATATTGGCATATGGGCTCCTGCGCGGATGCCAATCGAGACCAATCAATTCAGTCCAATTAACGATGGGATATTACATTATTATTATTATTATTAATGCTGTCATTATTATTTTTACCACCTAGAAACAACTAGTCCCCTCGCTACATTTTTTAGCAGCTTAATAAGACGGAAATTATCTGAAACATGTGATATATTAGCACCATACATTTCGAACAGTCTGATGACGTATGAACTTGTCAAGTAATTTATATAGAACTTAGAAAGGTTAATTAAGCCAGTGAGATTAAAATCAAGAAAGATAACAAAGGCAGAAGAAAAACAAGAGCGGAAGAAAATAAAAGGTTAAATCACTTAATACTACCAGGGTAGATTTAGTGTAAGTACAAATAGTTTCTGAATACATAGAAGGGGTTTGAATTTATGGATAACAAGTGATTCCAAGTATTCGTCCCTGACCATATCTGTACAGTACTGTAAAGGCTGTCTTCATATCAATCTTATGACTAATTTCTTATATGTTTTACGATCAACGAAGAAGGATGTTTGTCACTTGCATATATTAATCTGTTAAAGGTCATTTGTTCCTGTATCCATTCGTAATTACTTGTCACGATTGCTTCTTATGTATTTGTCTACATATGCATGTAAATTGTTAGGCACAATGGGACGTGATACACTCGTTCGAATGCTGTTTAGG